TCTCGCCGACGCTTGCACAGCGTGAGTGTTGTGCTGTAGCGTTCGTATGGTAGCGGAGCTACGGCTCCTAGCTCCCCACGTATAGTCCGTCTGAGCACGCCACCTGTCTTGACTTAACGTCCGTTGTGTCTTACCCGTGATGTCGGGAACTTGGTTTAATGAAGCCTTGGACCAGGCAGTTAGACGTAGGTCAGGTCAGTCAGAGCACCCGTCACCAGATGTCGAGAGAGGAGGTCGCATGTATCCACCCCAGGGATTGCCTGAGTCTTTTGGTCCGCAACACCCGCCACAGGGAGGATCAGAGGAGGAGCTGATTCCTGCGATGGAGTCGTTAGGAAGGACAGGAGGATTAGGAGACCCTTTTGTCACAGGAGTTGTTGCAGGAGGATTAGGAGATCCAGCCTTTGTCACCCAGGCAGTCGTGTCAGGAGATCAGAGTTCTGTCAGTCAGCACACTGGTCCGCCACTGTCAGGAAGTCAAGTTTTCCACAGTGTACCTGGTAGCCAGGTGAGTCAGGTGAACACCACGTCAGGTTCCACCGTGTCTGTTGGAGGTATCCCAGGTCCGTCAGGTCAGACAGTGTCACTGCCGACCATGCCCAGTTTTTCGGGAGTGCCAGTCCAACAGTTTTTTCCGAGCATGCCTGGCGGAGTGAATCCACCTGTGTTGCCCGTGTGGCCGTGTCCTGCACCGAGCAATGGGCCAAGGCAAGTCTTGGCGGAGAGCTCCGGGAACTCAGAACAGTTGATGGTAAGGGCCATTCAGGCCATGCAAGCCCAGACAGAGGTGCTAACTAACACTGTGTCACAAGTGTTGCAAGCACAAAGCGCCCAGTTTCAACAACTAATGGGACTGCTAAGTATGCAGCAAGCACAGAACGCTGTAGGAGCAGCGCCAGTAGCAGAAGGAACAGCAGTGCCTAGCGGTAGTGTGCCGTACACTCGCCTAGCAGGGCGAACACCTCCACCACCACCATCTGTAGGAGCAGGAACCGAGAACAGTAGCGTGTTCAAGAACGTAGACTCGAAGCTGTTGCCCCCTATGCCCACGGTAGACGTGAACAAATGGAGCACGCGTCCACAAGAGATAGTAGGATTCCAGACGTACCTGGAGTCGCTGAGCGCCTGGTTGTGTGTCCTGCAGCTAGTGTACGGAACAGAGCTTAGGGAAGCGTTGAAGCGCAGCACCCCTGTCCCTGAAGAGAGATTCACCACCCAGCAGCAAGAGCGATCAACAAGGTTGTTCTACATCCTGAAGCAAAGCTTGGGTAGCTCGGCGCGGTGTCAGGCGCTGATTCGTATTTTCGAGTATGAGCACGATCAGAAGACGCAAGGCTATGAGTTAGCAAGGCGTTTGAAGGAGGAATTCTCGATAATTACCCGAGCAGAAGCATTGCACTTCCGCAACCAACTACTGTCGTATAGGGTAAAAGGTGGTTTGAGCCTAAAAGACCTTGTGCACACCATGGATGCAGAGTTGCTGATGTTTGATAGGATTTTGAACTGTAGTACAGATAGCAGTCTTATTGCAGAACTCAAAATTTCTGAGCCAGACAAGTTTCGATGGATTCTTTTGAATTTAGAACGGTATGGTGATTGCAAAAGGTATTGTCAGTTGCATTCGGTAGGAGAGACGTATGCACATGTGAAGCAAGCCATTTTGGATTTTCACCAAAGAACTGTTTTGAACTCTCAAGATTTTAGGACTGTGAACCAGCCGCTGTCAGCTTTTGGGAATCAGGATACCCCATCGAGACACACTTCCCAGGAAAAATACCCCCACATAGAATGCTGGAAATGCGGCCGGAAAGGCCATTATGCTCGGAACTGTCGTTCTGATGGCGTCTCGCCCGCTCGATCCGGAGCATCTGGAAGCTCAGGTCGTTCCAAGGGACACCGAAAGGGAACCAATTCCGGATCCCCAGATCACAGAAAGGGAAGTGGAAAAGATGGAAAGGAGGAAAAGAGTAAAGGTAAAGGTAAGAAAGGTGATAAGGATAAAGGAAAAGGAAAGAAAGGAAAGGGCAAAGCTGGAGTTCGAGCAGCTGAGTATCAAGAAAGTTCGGTAGCAGATGAAGGCCTAGAGTCAGAAGGTTATGAGGCAGAAGCGTCTGAAGAAGTTTGGAGTGAAGCTGGAGACCTCACGGAACTTCGTTTGTCCATGTTCGTTCGATCGCAGTCGAAGACCGAAGAGTTGAACGTTCGGCCGGAGTCGAATGTTGGAAGTAGGAACGATTGTTGTGAGCAAGTTGGAAGTCGAGATGCTTGTTTTGAGCAAGTTGGAGACAAAGATGCCTGTTTTGGGCATGTTGGAACTAGAGCTGACTGTTTTGTTGAACAGTTTGAGAGTGTGATCCATGAGGCCCCAAGCCTCGAATCTGTTGGAGCAAGTTTCGGGCCGTCAGAGCGTCAGCGAAGGGCAGAGAATTGTTGTTCTCGAAGGAGGTCATGGGCCTCGCTAGTGTCAGAGGAAGAGAAAGAAGTAGGGAAGCTTGAAGGTCAACCACCACAACACGTACAGCCTATCGTACCACGTCCAGACGATGTGAGGTTTGAAGGTACGAGGTTCGCAGGCCAGAGGTCAGATCTAAGTGATAGGAGTCACGTTGGTAAGCTAGTTGTGTGCCGCAGCCCGATCCTTTGGAACGCTCGTCCGACCGCTCACGTCGAGAAGCTGTGTCAGCCTTGGAAGGGAGACAGTGAGAACTCAAGCATGTGTGATGGTTGTGGTGTTGTTGCACCAGTCAAGCCGTTCAGTCAAGAGTTTTACCCATCTAAGAGTAAGAGTCAGAATGCAGTCGCAAGAAGAACGTCTAGTTTTTTGTTTTGCAGTTCGTGTCGCAATGTTGGAAACAGTCATGTGCAGAGCATTCGTGAGTTGAGAAAAGCACTGCATAAGTCCAAGAAAGGTTTTTTGCTAGAACCAAGTCTTGTGCATGGAGGGTTCGAGCAAGAGTTGAGCACGTTCAGAAAGCAGGATCTTCGCTCGTCGACGGTCGCCGATTTCGTCACCCGTACGCCCTCAGGTTGGAACCGAATCATTCACCCAGCAGAGTCGCCCGTGGCCCCATCCGACCTGGATGCACCGAGTGATCTTGAAGAGATAGGTAACCTAGATGATGAAGAGTCACTTGCAACTGATGAGCTAGAGCTCAACTCGTCTGAATGTCTTGAACCGGAACCTCACCTACCTAAGAGTTTTGAATCGGAGTTCAAAGCTAACCTTGTGAAGTGTGTCGAGCAAGAGTCACAAGAGGTTGTGAAGCGTGTCGAGCAAGAGTCACAAGAGGTAGATGCTGTGATGTTCGTTGCAAGTCTTGGCATTCGAGAAGTTGTCTCGAATTGGTCACCGAGTTTTGCAGCATGGTGCACGAACTGTGGTAAGAAGCCTAAACTTGGAAGAGTTGAAGCTAGTTTTGTAAAGCCACCTAGCCTGCTGGTAGGAACGTCTGAGAGTTCGATCGCCGCAGCCATTTTTCCACTGACTTGCAACCCCGTTTGTTGCAGAGATCCGGAGCCTCAGAAACCCGAGACCAGTGGTCACCAAAAGACACGACCCAAGAGGTCAGCAGGGCCACCACTGTGGCCTGAAGAGTTCGAGAAGTTGAGACCACGTTCATGCCTAGTAGGTGGTAAGATGTTTGAGACGGACTTCAAAGAACTAGAGAGCAGGGAGCTAGACTTGAATGTTTGTGAGACGTTCGGTAACTATGAAGTGCCTGTGTACGATCTAGTTCACTCAAAGAGTCATGTCGAAGAGCCTCAACTTATGAAGCCACTGCTTCAACCCCTGTTTTTCTCAAACGTAGAGGACTTGAATCTAGCCTCGTGGTGGCTAATGGACTCAGGAGCTAGCAGGTCAGTAGTCTCGAATAAGTTTCTAGATCGGTATCAGGTAGAGAAGACCCGTGATCTAGAGCAGCCTTTGGGATTCAGCACTGCTAGTGGCCAACGTGTAGAGATCACCAGAGAGGTTGTGATTAAGGTCCAGGTTGAGCTATATAGCAGGGACAAGCAAGTGGTAATGCCCGTTAGCATTCGTGCACTCGTAAGTGATGTTGAGCATAACTTGCTATCGGTAGTTGAGATGGCACGCAAGGGTTGGGAGTTCGTTGTGAACCAAAAGGAGTGTGTTGTGAGCATAGGTCAGTACAAGCTGTATCCCATAATGTGGGCTAACTGTCCGTGGCTAAAGGTTCACGAAGTTGAGACCCAGAGCTCATCCCACGAATCCCCCAACTCGAGCCGGAATCGACGCGTCCGCGTACAAGGCCCAGACGATCAAATGCAAGTCGATTCGTTGAACCGCTCACGGAGTTTGTCCGGGAGCTCGCACGGCAGTCACGCAGAAGGGAATGCAGTTCGATCTAGGAAGACCTCCCCTATGAAGCGTGACCAGGGTTTTACAAAGAATGGTCTGAAAGCGAATTAGAGGAATTGAGCCAAGAAGAATGTGAACTACTGTTGCAACCCTTGCCCGGAGAAAGCTTGGAAGCACCGCCTTCGTTTGAGCCTAGTGGTAATGTAGTGTCTGTTGAAGAGCAACTAGATGGAGCTAGCGACCACCCCACTGGCCGTAAAAGATATAGTATGAAGGCGCCACCCGCTGTAGTTCAGCGACAGAGCCAACCAAACGATCCAGGAACACCCGATGAAATTGAGCCCATAAGTCTAGAAGAGGACCAGGAAGCTAAAGCTAATCGTCCACGTAACCGCCTCCTAGAAATAGAAGACAGGGATCTAATGAAACACAGGCTGCAAGGCCATGTAACCTACCACCCGTCTTGTGAAGCTTGCAAAGTTTCAAAATCCACTCACCAGCACCGTAGAAAGAAGCAAGGAGAGGCAGGCGTGGAGATCGTGGCAGATTTCGCTATGCTAGAACGAGAGAAGGCGCTGTGTCTAGTTGAGGGATCTTCAGGATCCATAGGCTATGTACACGTAAGTTCGAACAGGGACCTCACAGTTAGAGAACTACTTAAGTGGTGCGAGTCGATAGGAGTCACTGGCCCTTCCACTGCTGTAATTCTAGTGAGAGCTGACCTTGAACCGGCCCTACTCGCCCTGCTAAAGCAAGGCATTCCAGGAAAGGTTGAATCTGTGCCAGCACAATCTCCTGAGATGGTCGGGGGAGCCGAGCGGTCAGTTAGACGCCTGAAGGAGCAGTGGAGTTGCTTAAGGTATGATGCACAACTGTTCGGATACGACTATAAGTTTAATGAGGAGTCCGCAAGTGTGATTTGTAGGTATATGTCTACTACGTATAACCTTTTTCACCATGTCCACGGAGGAAACGCCACCCCAAACGAGCTCGTCACCGCCCGCCGCACCGGCACCGTGATGACATGCGCGGCCCTTGGATCAGTCGTGTTCGCAGAAGCTCCCGCTTCGATTGAGACCCCAGCTGGAACTAGATGGATACCCTGTTCGTTCTTAGGATACCTTCACGGATCTAAGTCATGCCTAGTTTCTGGTCTTGTTGGACCATCGATGGAAGTTGCAAAGCCTAAAGTCTTTCAAGCTAAGAGCATTCGAGTTTTGAATCGGATCGTGTTCGAAGAGAGTTATGTGCCAGAGCTTTTGGTAAAAGTCTCTAATAAGAAGCCTTCAGTTGAAGACGTGTCGAAACAAGACGATGCAGAGCTTGTGATCCAGCCACCCATAATGCCTAAGACAGGACCCCCAATAAGTTGGCTGAGAGAACATGGTAAGACTAAAGACTGTAATGCTTGTAGCAATAGAGTGAGTCACGGAAGGGTTCACAGTAAGGCTTGTAAGGAACGATACTTGAGATGGGCTAGAGTCGGCTAGAGAACAGTCTAGCTTAGAGCGAATACCTGCTCCAGCAGAGTCGTTTCCAGAGCCTGTGCCTGGCTCGCGTGAGCCACCGATCCCTGAACTTGAACCACCCGACTCGTTTCCCCATGAGGTTCGACCTGATGATGATGATTTGAATGACATGGATTACACGCCATCGAGTCCGGGAGACCAATGGGATGGTGATGCCGATGTCGATATGGGAGGTGATTCGGATGAGGACATGGAAGTTGTGTCTCGATTCATTTGCCGATTTTGCAGTCCAAGTGATTTTTATCAGCAAAATGAAGATGAACCACTTGTCTTGTCTCCGATGATCTTGCCAAAAGTTGGAAGCCCGACAGTTTTTGACCTTTTTGAATTAAGCCAGAGAAGAGTGTTCTTAGCTGTACCCACAAAAGTTTATGCCGAAACAACGTATGAGAGCCTCGATGTAATAAAGACTAAAGAAGGAAGACTAGTAGAGCTTAAGTCAATGAATACGGTTAAATTCGGAAGAGTCGTAGCCCGTAAAGAAGCGTTTGATTACGCTAAGACCCATAATATAAGCCCCATAGCGACCCGTTGGGTGATCGGACCAAAAGAAATCGAAGGAAAGCCTGTGGAGTACGCTGTAGACTTGTCGTTCAGCAAGTAGCGGCAGGGAAAGGACTCGCGGCCAATTTAGGCTTTTCTTCGGCAACCCCGTCCGGGGAGTGCATCAGATCTCTGATCGCCTTTGTCGTTCAGAACGATTGGAGCCTTACGACTCTTGATGTTTCCACCGCATTCTTGAATTCGCCTCTACCACCAGGAGTTAGTGATCAGACTTCCAGGCGACATTTCGCTTCGGAGAGACAGCATGAACCCGCCTATGCCATCCTGGCAGTTGCCATGAACGGTCTTAGATGTGCAAGCAAAGCTTGGCTGCTCCTCGCAAAGAACATTTGCGAAGACCATGGTTTGAGCAGTTGTCCGGAGGAACCTTGCATCTTCAAAGGACAGTTCAAGACCAGAGGCTTCACTGCTGAAGTTGTCCTTGTGATATACGTTGACGACATTCTCATTGGATCTTCACATCCTGACGCAAAGGATTATGTTGTTGAAGCTTTCATGACGAAAGTTCAAAAGGTTAAGGTCACAGGATTTATCGCAGCAGGACAGGAAGGCAAGGTAACGTTTCTGGGTAGAGAGATATGTCGCTTGAAAGGTCGTACAGATCTACTAATGCGTGTACCAACCGACTATCTAAGAGGAATTTGCGAAGAATTGAGCGAAACTGACATCCCACCAAAATCCATTGAAAATAAGATTGAAGGAAGCGATCTCGAACCTCTCGATCCTAGTCAGGCCGCTGATTTCAGGACGAAGTTAGGTAAGCTTGCGTGGTTTACGCAGACTAGGTTGGACTTGTTACGACTCACTTCCGTTCTCGCTTCAGGACAGGCGCAACCGCTCAGGTTCCATGAGAAGGCCATGACCAAAGTACTGAAGTACGTAAAGAGTAATCTTCATCTTTGGTTAAGTTTCCAAAAGAGTAAGGCGGAAGAAGGTCTTGTCTTGTGGGTTGACGCGTCCTGGGGAGCTCGATCTGTAAGTGGATACGCGATAACGCATCACGGAAACCTTCTTAAAGCTGTATCCAAACAACAAAGTACTATTGCGCTAAGTTCTTGTGAAGCTGAGTTGGTGGCACTAGCGCTTGGATCGCAGGAAACGTTAGGCATTATGTCTTTGATTGGATTCCTAGAAGGATATTTCGAGAAAGAGGTTAATACATTCGAGGATTTTCTAAGGAGTAATCCAGACGACTACTCGTTGGAAGATGGAAAATTCTTGTTCACCGCAAAAACAGACTCGATGTCAGGTTCGCAGGTGATGCAGGCAGATGGATTCAACCGAAGAACGCGACACTTGAATATAGCTATGCTATTCTTGCAACGATTAATACGTAAGAAGCTGATGTGCTTGAAATGGACCCCAGGACAACACCAGTTAGGAGATGTCTTGACTAAAGTCCTCGACAAAGCCCAGTCAACTTTCTTAAGAGAACAACTAGGTTTTCGAGAAGTAACACCTCCGGAGGATTGGCAATCCAATAGTTCCCGTAAGAAGCCGATTGTTGAAAAGCCGAAGCCGATGAAAGTGTTACTTTTGGAAATTGAGCCAGAAAGTTGTCGACTTTGAATCGTCATTTCAAGAGTGCGAAAGATTGTTGCAGGAAGGCCATCAGATGTTGATCATTGTTGAGCTTTGCACACATAGCGGATCTGGATTTGTGCCAGTCCATGGCCGAAGCATCCACGAATTTTGGGTTCGAAGCAGCGAGATTTTGATCAACGGCATTGAGAAGTTGGAAAATCGAGGGTGTAGGATATACACTCATTTTTCCCCACCATGCACAGGCGGTTCGCCTATGCAATACCTTCAGAAGAACAAGATCGATGAACGTTTGGCAAAGTACTGGAAAGACTTCGTGAAGTTGTTGAGAAGCGCTGATCGAATATTCCGGGAGTCGCACACTTGCTCATTGGAACTCAGCAGAGCATGTCGGTATTGGAGAACAATTGAAATGCATAAGTTCCTAGCCAGACATAATCTACAAGTGTGCACATATTTCCACAGATGTTCATATCAAGAACGACAGACCCAACCACTTGCAAAACATACATATAGATTTCAATTTCAAGAACCAATCATAGCAGGAAGATATTGTCAATGTAACCAGCACAAGCCTCTATCTAACCAGGACCTAGAACAGGAAGGGCACTATCCTAAAGCTATGGTATTAGAGATCACATGTCAAATAGCACGTTTGTTCAATCGTAAGCCTTGACCATCCGGACGGCAGAACTTCTATGATAATGGAGATCTTGGAAGCTCTCATGAGCGTATGGTTTCTCATGGCCGACAATGGCCTTGTTGACGGATTTGTGACGATGTTCATTGGTGCAGTGACGATGTGGATCTTCATGAGGAATCGAGAAGACGTGGCAGTTGTGGAGACAAAGGTGACGGCGACGACAGGAACTCAGACGGCTCGATGTGAGATTACGATGTCCACCACCGCAGCCATCAGCTTTCCTGAGCGTGTTGTGACGACCCAGACAGGATCGTGTTACCATGCTCCCACATGTGGCCATGTTCGGGGTAAGTCGACTTCAACCTATAGGAGATGCCTTGATTGTCTTGGTCGATGATCATGTGTAGATGAAGTTGATCTTCCGGAGAGGAGATTGATCGATATAAACTTCCGAAGCGAAGATACATTGTATTCATTTGCACGTGTGAAGATTTGGTCATCGGGGGGTGTGAAAATATCAAACCCAATCTACTGTATGCAATCATACTGTTATC